TAAGCCCTAAAACCCTAAGCCCTAAGCCTTAAACCCGAAACCCTAAAACCCTGCAGCGGCCCGTTCATGCTCGCTCTCCTGTAAGCCAAAGTCCATGTATTTGGCCTTTACAGTGATTTAGGGTTCAGGGTTTGGGGATTTTTCTGACAAGGGACAGCCTGCGTCATGAAGCCAGGGTTTAGGGTTTAGGCTTCAGGGGTTTTGGTTTGTTCGTGTCTTTGCGAAGCCCCTGCCATGCACAACGGCACTGCCCTGTTTCCACATGCAGCCGCTGAAACACAATACAGGGGCCCAAAATACTGCCAATACTATTTGGGGGGTGCCTTCTTATGGTATAAGATACCCAAAAAACCTGTCAATTTAAGGCCCCTAGATTAAACCCCATTAAACGAAGGCCCCCATTTTGAACCCTATTAAATTAAGGCCCCTGTAGTACAACCCTATAGTAAACCCCCTATTAAAATTAAGGCCCTTACATTAAACGCCTATTACATTAAGGCCCCTATAAGAACCGAAGGGTTGAAGTCGGAGCCTTAAACCCTACTTAGTTCTCCAATACCCAACCTTTTAGCTTTTTGGGTTCTTATAACTTAGCATTAATCTGAAAGTGTCACCTTTTATTTCCCTGGCTTATTGGGGAAGTAAGCCCTAAACCCTAAAACCAGGGGGGCTGTGGTGCGGTCACTGGCTCGTCTGGATTGGGGATCGGATGGAATGCCATCACAACGATGGAGGAAGCGGGGCGTTGGAGTAGCATACTTTCACACTTTTCTTTGAGACCTGTTCCTGAAAGGAACCCCTAAACCCTAAAACCTACAACCATAATGACATAAAGTCTATACGTTTTTCTCGCTGGTGTCTTCCAAGCCCAGGAAGGGATCTTGACGAATCCAGGCCAGCGCCACTACAAGTTTCAGAATGTCCCCTCTGTGCTGGATGCTGGGTTCTTGTTAAGGAGTTCAATTTAAGTTACCATATTAGGGATCGATAGTAAGAACTAACATGGTTTCTTATTTTGGTAGCTTCACTTTAAGCCCGAAGCAAGAACTCAGGATGGCGGCTTGTACAGCGGTAGCCAGACTTGGCCGTCTGCAGGGACATGGACAATCTCTTATGAAGCGCCAGTAACTCTCTACGTGTGGGTCTTCAAGAATCACTACAATGCCGGTGTGGATGCTGCACTCAGTGGCGATGGCTGGGAGCAAGTGGATGCTGGTGACTTCAAGAGAAGCGACAACTATGTGCTCAATGTTTGGAAACGTTCGTTTTACTCTGGCAGTCAGTACCAGATCAAGACCACTGGGCCCATGGCCGGAGGCGTTGTGTCCAACGGCTGCCAGGCCAGGGTACTGTGAAGCTGAGGTGATATGCAACACAGGTGCTTGAGTAGACAGGATTTTCAAAGTGTGGGATGTTGTCTACTGCCAGGTCATCTAACATGATGTTTCAGGGCACACGAAGATACTAGACTGGAGTATACTGCTCATCTCTCACTCAACTTGTTTTTTTCTGATTGTGTGTGTGTGTGTGTGGTTTGTGTGTGTGTGTGTGTTTGTTTGTGTGTGTGTGTGGGTGGTGTGTGTGTATTTGTATATGATATACTCATGTGTACATGCATATGTATATGCACGTATGCAGATAGATATGTCAACGGCTGCATTGCATATGTTATATGCATACACATGCAGTGGCCCTTTCTGTGTGTACACATGTGAGCAGATGTGTATACATGTATATAGCACTGTATGTACGTATATACCTATGTCTACATACATGGGTGTGTATTTAGATAGAGAGAGAGAGAGAGAGAGAGAGAGAGATATATATATATATATATATATGTGTGTGTGTGTGTATGTGCACTACAAAGTTTGGCATACATGCGGACAGAGGTGAATACAAGTTGGTCTGATGTACTATACAGACAGCAAAGAGAGCGAGAGAGAGAGAGAGAGAGAGTGTGTGTGTGTGTGTGTTTGTTGGTGCGTGTGCCACTACATAATCTTATCATGTAGTGCTAAACCCTAAACCCTAAACCCTAAACCCTCAACCCTAAACCCTAAACCGTGCACTGCATGTTTAGAGACATTGTGTATACCTTGCTTCGCCTTGAGTTGTTTGGTTTCGGGCCTCAGGGCTTCAGGTGCTTAGCCTCAAGACTGAGCCCTCAACCGTAAACCCTAAACCCTCAACCGTAAACCCTAAACCCTAAACCCTAAACCCTAAACCCTAAACCCTAAACCCTAACCCTGTCCAGCCTTCCTGGTCAGGGTTTGTTTCAGAGATTTCTCAACTAAGCAGTTCGCCATGGCTTTTGAGGGCACCCTAAACCCTACCTGTAGCCGAAAAGACCTATCTGTTTAGGGCCCCCTCTTTCGGTATAGGCGTTAGGGTTTAAAGGTAGCTCCTTTGGCCCACGGGTAGACCCTAAAAGCACAAACTGGACAGAAGCGTAGTGCTGCGAGGGCGCTCGAAGCTAGGCAGGAGTTTAACCTGGCTACTCGCTCGCATTCCGGTAGTAGCCCACCAGACAGCAAATTTCTAGATGTGTCAGTGAGGAACCTAAAGACCTGTCTCTGCCCGTCGTCGCAGGCAGCCGTCGTGAAGGATGGGTTGAAATGCGGATACTACTACGACAAGTCTCAGTGCCGAGTTCCTGACCTGTCTGATTGGACCGTGAGTTTTGATTTGTTGCAGGCTTCGGGTTCCCCTAAACGGTTTGGGGCTTGGGGTTTAGGGTTTAGGGTTTAGGGTTAGGGTCTAACCTCGAGCCTCAAGCCAAATAGGTCCAGCACGAAGGGCTTAGGGTAAAGGGGCTGTGGGCTGGGATTCTGGATCGAGAGGCTCTTGTTATAAGCCCCATTTTGGGATTTATAGGGACCCTACCAAAAAAAAAAAGTAGGTTCTGGTGGGTTCAGGTGGAGTCTAGGGTTAAACCCTAAAAACCTAAACCTAAACCACAAAGCCTAAAAACCTAAACCCTAAAACCTAAAACCCAAACCCTAAACCCTAAAAGCCTACACCCTAAACCCTAAAACCGTAAAGCCCTAAGCCTCTTGGTTGCTGGGGAGTCCCCTGCTAGCTGCCCTGGAGGATTGAGGCTACTGGATGTCCAACTTCGGGCGTCTACTGTAAGCCCTGACCATTTTCGTAGTAGTCCCTGATAATTATAACCTAGAACTCTATATCTCAGTCCTTATGAAGAACCATGGAGTTGGATTTTAGGGGACAAAAAACCCCCAAACCCGCGCCCAAAACCCGCTAATCCCAAACGCGAAAGCTTTGCTGCTTATGAGTATTCTAAACCCTAAACCCTAAACCCTAAACCCCTAAACGGTCATGCTAGTCCCAGCTTTGCTGCCTCCCGGAGGACACCGGCCCACGAAGTCGTTGTCCCCAAGATCTACATGGACCGCATGTAAAGTTTGTTTTGGGGCCTTCCAGGGTTGAAGCCGTCTGAAGTGCTCTTTCTTTCAGCAGATTAGGAGAGCTCAAGAAAGAACGTAGTAACGCGGTCTAGGGTTTAGGGCTTCCACCGTCGTCACTTTCCTTCATGGTTCTGATAGTTCCCATCATGTTCGTCATGCCGCTCGTTCTCGTGGACCCAGAACCCAAAACCCTCAAGCCCGAACACTTTCAATGCCTAACCGTAAACCTGTGTTACATAACCCTTTTCCCTGTATAGAAGCCTAAACTCCAAGAAAATAAACCTTGTGGCCCTAATCCCTAAACCCCAAACCCTAAACCCAATACCCTAAACCCCTAAACCCTAAAAACCTAAACCCCAAACCGTTGCAGGGCCCTTTATGGAAGCCTACTTAAAGGATCATGGACTTAGTAAGTAGGGTTATAATTAAGGTAACTATACTTATTTTTACTTATAACCCCACTTAAGGGACTTATAACCTTACTTACTAAGTCCCATGATCCTCCAAGTAGGGTTCCGGCCGAAACCCCAAACCTGAAAACCTGAACCCCAAAAAACCGATGGAACTCTTAGTAAACCCTTACAAACCGCAATCCCCAGAAGAACCCGTATAAACCACTCAGCTTTTAGTGTATCAGGAGCATGGCAAGTTCCCGGGAGTCCGGCAAGGCGACCAATTCTGCATCAGGCCCGGCATGGTTTTAGGGTTTCGGGGTTTTGGGTTTAGGGGTTTAGGGTTTAGGCTTTAGGCTTTAGGTGATCAATTTGCGTCAGGCTCGGCGTGGGTAGTTCTCCAAAAGTAAGTAGAGTCCTCTTTGACAGTTTAGGGCTTAGGGCTAAGGGTGCAACAAGGGACCCCCTAGTTAGGAGAACTACCCATCTGGTATTACGAGCTTTATAGGGTTTTGAGATGTTCCTTTGCGAACCCTAAACCCTAAACCCTAAACCCTAAACAACCCTAAACCTTAAAAAAACAAACCTAACAGGGTCCTAGGGTTCGTAAATTATCGGGCTTGAGGGCTGTCTCAAGGATTTTACCAGAGTCTGGTACATCGCAGGTGCACAGGTCAGCTGGTCACGAAAAAGGAGGGCAACTACAAGTTCTTCCTCAGTTCAGACGATGGTGCTCAGCTCAGATCTCGGACGTGCTTGGGTTTAGGGCGTTTATGGGTTTGGGGAGTATTTTGTTACGGGTTTAGGGTTTTGGGGTTTTCGGATCTAGGGTTTAGGATTTCGGGTCTCAGGGTTTAGGAGGTTTAGGATTTTAGGGTTTAGTTTAGGGTTTAGGGCTCGTGAGGCTCTTTCATGTGGCTGAACGGGGAGAAAGTCGTCGACAACAATGACTGCCATGGGGAAACTTGGCCGTTCTTGAAAGGTATGTTTTTCTTTCTGAGTATAGTCTATTATCAAGAACGAACAGCAACTATGTCTTGGAATGGGCTTCCAGGAACAGCCAAGGAAAGGGAGCGGGGCAGCAGCGACAAGTTCCTGTTGCCAGGCGCCCACGACTTGGCCGTGGACATGTGCGAGATGTACGGCGGCGAAAACTTGAAGATGCGCGACCCTTAGTTTTTTTCTTCAGAGACCGGGAAGCATCCTGGCAACCAGTGGATTCAAATTCTGGCTTTAGCGGCATCGAGCTTTAATCCCCGAAAAAGAGCACTGAGGCGCTACCAGGGACCGGACACTGGCAATTCCAAGATCACAGTCCCCGAACAAGCTCTCCAATACGTAGTTGCCCCCGAGGACAAGGCAGGGTTGGGTGCGCAGACTGGCATTCAACACTGGGTTGCTTGTCCAGAACCGTAAACCGTACCCTAAACCCTAACCCCTAAACCCTAAACCCTAAACCCCTAAAACATAAAGCCTTAAAGGCTCGGATCCCGCAAATAGCCCTCAATCCCAAAACTCGGAATCTGTAGAGCCCTGGAGATTTAAAGCTGTTCTTTTCGACATGTGGGTACTATAGGGCTTAAATAATTACCAATGCTAGTTTTGGAGTTCCTTATGAAAGTATAGTAAAATATATCCCAAAACCCTGTTCTAATTATTAAGACCTCTGTATAAGTTCTTGAAATTAGGGTCCTGATTTCGGTCCCCAATATACCACGGCAACCCTACAAAAAGGACAGCGAAAGGGAGCCTATTTGAGAGAACTACCCATGTGGCAGGCTGTTCTCGAGGACGGCTTAGAATGCGACTACTACTACGATCAGTCGCAGTGCCGCGTGCCGAATCTGGGTGCCCTGACGCTCGGCTTGTTTGGCTGTGTCGGGTGGTTCAGCTCTGCTTGGCTTCCAGGAGCATTTGGGTTTTTAGGATTTTCGATCTGGCGATTAGCGTTCAGGATTCAACTGGATTCAACTTTCAGGGCTTCTTGTTCGCATGCCCCGCTGCGAGACTGCACAGCCCACGCCTGATGCCTAGTTGCCTCAGCAGGAACGCAGCCCATCGTGCGATCGTGCCCGAGATCTACATGGACCGGGATTGGGAATTAGGGGTGAAGGTTACAGATCGTTGGTGTGGCCGAGGTTGACCATGTTGCGCTCATGCACGTTCCGCTGTGCTTTGCATCCCCGTCAGTCCAACGGGCAGTTCCCCAACCTACGCAAGAAGGATCAATTCTGCATGAGGCAGGGCCTACATGCCCGTTGCCTTGGCTCATCCCCGGATTTCGCAACTGCAGTGGCAGGTGCACAGGTCTTTTGGTCACGAAGAAAGAGGGCAACTACAAGTTCTTCCTGGCTTCAGATGATGGTGCCTTGGCCTGAAGGTGACGTCTGGAGCTGGGCTGCAGAAGCATAGGGTGCAGAGACAGTACGGTTTAGGGTTTCGGGTTTAGGGTTTAGGGTTTAGGGAGGTGCGTGGTACTTGCAGTGGGCTTTGTCTGTGAGGCTCCTTCATGTGGCTGGACGGGGAGAAAATCGTCGACAACAACGATTGCCACCCAGAAAGGGAGCGGGGCAGCAGTGACAAGTTCCTCAAACCAGGTGCCCATGGGATCAAGGTGGAGATGTGTGAGACTTAGTAGCTGAGTCGATACAATTTATTTTTTGGGGAAGACATTACCCCCTAAACCCTCAACCCTAACCCCTACGCCTAAACCCAGTATACCCACTATGAAACTGAAAGTGTACTCTCTTTTGGGCTGATGAACTCAGCAACTAAGGAGATGTACGGCGGCGAAGTCTTCAAGATGCGCTACCAAGGTCCGGATACCCTAAACCCTAAACCCTAAACCCTAAACCCTGACCCTAGACCCTAGACCCTAAACCCTAAACCCTAAACCCTAGACCCTAAACCCTAAACCCTACACCCCCTAAGGTCCGGATACCGGCAACTCCAAGGTGAAGGTCCCTGCTTCGGTCCTCAAGCACGAGAAGGCAGGGTGTAGGGTTTTAGGGCTTGGGGTTAAAAAGGGTTTAGGGCTTATAGGGATTATAGGGTTTAGGGATTATAGGGTTTATAGGGTTTAGGGTTTATAGGGTTTAGGGTTTATAGTTTATAGGGTTCATAGGGTTTAGGGTTTACAGGGTCTATAGGGTTTAGAGTTTACAGGGTTTATAGGGCTTAGGGTTTAGGGCTTACAGGGTTTATAGGGGTTTGGGGTCTAGGCATGCTGCACTTGGCTCACTCATCAACCCTAAACCCTAAACCCCTAACCCCCTAAAGCCCTAAACCCTAAACCCCTAAACCCCTAAACCCTAAACCCTAAACCTTAACCCCCTAAACCCAAAACTTGCTTGCACCCGACGCCCAGCGGGACGGTAAGCAACTAGGGCCTAAACCTCGACTAGGGCCTGAACCTTCAAGCCTAAAGGCCCTAGGCCCTAAACCCTAAAGGCCCTAAACCCAAAACGCCCTAAAGGCCCTAAAGGCTAAACCCTAAACCCTAAAACCTAAACCCTAAACCGCCTAAACCCTAAACCGCCTAAGCCCTAGGCCCTAAACAAGAAAATGGTTAACATCCGTTTCCCCTTTGTTCATCTCAAGGCCTGGAGCAGAGCCCTAAGCTTCCCCGATGCCTCTGCCCTCGGGTTCCTTTTCTTTCTTAAGTTAGGTTGAGGGTTTAGGGTTTAGGGTTTAGGCTTTTAGGATTTGGGGTTTAGGGTTTTGGTTTTCGGGGTATACAGGGGCCTTACTACTCAGAATACGGTTTTGGGGTCCATTATACTATGTTTCAAGTAAGGAACCCCGAAAGTAGTATTGTTAATTGGTTAGGCCCCTACATTATACTAGGCCTCTGAGGGCATGGTAGGCTTCAAGTTCAAGTGCATTCAGTTCCAGTACCCAGCAACAAGTATCGAACCCTCACAGGAACCCTACATTCTGCTGACTTACATTATCCTGGGTAGTATTAGGTAGACCCCTTAATTAAAGGGCACCCTTCTGAACCCTACCTCTGGCTCTCTTAAAAGGGGCCGTATAGAGGGGGTCTATATCCCCAAGAGTCACCCTGATCCTAACTCCCAAATGAAGTTCAACCCTAACCCTAAACCCTAAACCCTAAACCCTAAAACCTAAACCCTAAACCGTAACCCCAAACCGTAAGAACCCAGGACAGAACTCCCTAAACACCCCTCTGGCTTGGGAGCTCGCCACTCTGGGATGGGTGGCTCCTTGAAAGTGATCGTAGTATTTGGGAGGGAGTTTCCGACAATAGGGGTACCTTATTTTGGGGGGTCCTTATAATAAGGATCCTATTATTTAGGGTACTATATTAGGGTCCCCTATTTTCGGAAACCCCCATTTGGGGTCCTACTTTAGGGGGTTTGCGATGCCCTGAGCCCCTTCTATGTAGGGTCCTACGTTGTTGTGCCTACTGTTTAGGGTTCCAGGTTTAGGGGGCTAGGGCCTAGTTTAGGGCTTCCTGAAAGCAGTATATAATATACGCTTGATGATATAAATCCTGCATTCCTTAAGCTCATGCAAGATTTATATCATCAACAGTAGGAGGCCGACGTAGCGCTGACTGGGAACCTGTATGTGAGAAGTGCTGCTTCAGATGTGCATGCCGAAGTCAGGTAGCGAACGGAGAGGACTGATATGACTGACCATGGGGCTCAGGACAGCTTCGGGACGTCGCAAGTTAACCCTAGACGGCCCTAAACCCTATTGGGTTTAGGTTTTGCATTGCTTTACCAAAGCCGGAACAAGCTTCATCGAGTCTCGTGTCGTTCTTTGCAAGGTTGGACACCGCCAGTCATGGCAGCTGAACCAAACCGCAGGGATGTTCCAGGAAGGATTTCTCCGTATTGACTTTGCATGGCTTTAAACCCAGTTGTGGTCCCTAAGCCCTAAACCCTAAACCCTGGACCCAAGACCTTCAGACAGGTGGTTCACGACAAGATCCACTTGACTGAGAAGAGTGCAGGCGTGGGCTGTGCCACTTAGATGCGTATGCTAGAGACCCAGCCCCTGAACCCCTAACCCACTTAACCCCTAAACCCCAAGCTCCACAGAAACTAAATCCAAACACCGCAGTCCCAACTCCCGAACTCCAAAACCTTGGTCCCGAAGCCCTCCGTCCAAACTCCTTCTTTCAACCGCCCGCAGGCACTCTACTGGAGCTTGTCTCTGGAACCTTGGGCAGGTGGGGCTTCGCCGTGCTGAAACGGGGGTTGAGTTTTTGAGGGCGTAGGCTTACAGGGTTCAAGATTTACGCCCTAAACCCTAAACCCTGGCTTTACTAACTGTTAAGGTTCGAAGGTCGGCTTAGGACTCAGGGACGGCATAGACTTTGAGGGCTTCCTACCTTAGCCTCAAGCCGGTTTAGGGTTTAGGGTTTAGGGTTTAGGGCGAGGTAACGTGATTGAGTTCGTTGCTGTTTAGGTTTTACGTATAACCCTAAAGCCCTAAACCCTAAGCCCTGTATAACCGGCCCTGTTTACGGCCCCAACCCTTGCCTGCGTGGGGCCACGTATTGCAATGAGTTCAGGTTTCAGGTCTCGGGCTCGGGTTTGGGGGTTTTAGGGTTGAGGGCTGAATAATTAGAATAGGGTGTGGGGGTATAGTATACTATAAGATACTATAATGATAAGGAGCCCCCCAAAACCCTATTCTAATTATTCAGGCCCCTCAACTGTGTCACAAATGGCTTTCTGTCCCAGCGGGTGCGTGAGTGAATCAGTGTGTGCACGCGAGCAGTCGCCGAGGGCCTCCCTCTTTGACAGACCTGAGCCCCAACATGGCTCCAGCAATGTCCTCTGTCGCATGGCCGATGGGAGACCTGTCGTTAATCATGGCACAGGGTGTAGGGTTTAGGGTTTAGGGTCCAGGGTTTAGGGTTTAGGGTTTAGGGAACAGTAGCATCAGCAAGAAACAACCACACCCGACGAAAGCTGCTCGTAATCAATACCAGCGTGAAGATCATCGCCGTCAACGTCTCCAGCGGCGTCTCTTGGCGCCGTCGCCGGCGGCATCGCCGTCACAGTCGTCATCGCCATCTCCGGCATAATCCATCATCGTGTCGTTCTCATCATCCTCGTTATCATCATGAGCTGCCTTTTGATCTGAGCACCCTGTTGAGTTTCAGAATAGAAACCACAGCAACAGCGGTCGTGACAGGAGGAAGATGAAGCAGAAGAGGAAGAGGAAAAGGAAGAGGAGCAGGAAATCATTTAGATATTGGAGGAGGGTGGTCAGGATACCGCAAGCATAGCGACAACGATAATGATCCCATTTGAGAATCTGCAACCAGCTCCCAAAGCTTCCCGGAAGCCTCAGCCCTAAACCGTAACCCCCAAACCCTTAACCCCTTCACCCAAACCCCAAACCAACACCCTAAATTCTAATGCCAGGGACGAGCTGTCCCCCACACGGCTGCCCAGTGAGAGCCGCTGATTGCGGCCTTCCGGGCACCGAAAGTAATGTAGGGGCCTTAAAAAGTAGAATAGGGGTTTTGGGGGTTCCTTATTATCATTATAGTACAAATATACCCCCCGAATTATTCAGCCCTCAATCCTAAACCCCCAAACCCTATTCTATTTATTAAGCCCCCTGCCACGCCTGACTTGCAGCCCCGAAGATGAACCCCCAAGCCCCAAGCCCCCTCAACCCGAAAGGCCTGAACCCTAAACCCCAAAACTCTAAACCCTAGGGCCTAAAGCCCAAAACCCAAAGCCCCAAAAACTCTATGGCCTAAACCCCAAAACTCTAAACCCAAAGCCCCAAAACTCTAAACCCTAAGCCCAAAATTCTAAACCCTAAACCCCAAAACTCTAAACCCTAGGGCCTAAAACCTCAGCCCTAAAGCCCTGAACGCTAAACCCCTTTTTTTCAGCCCTCAACGCCCCGCAACAAAGTGCAAAAGAAGCCCTCCGGTTTGCAGGGCCGAAGACTCGAACTTCTCTGTGAACAGTTTCAGGGTTCAAGGTTCAGGGTTTAGGGTTCAGGGTTCAAGGTTCAAGGTTTAGGGTTTAGGGTTTAGGGTTTAGGGGTTTAGGGGTTTAGGGTTTAGGGGTTTAGGGGTTTAGGGTATAGGGTTTAGGGTTTCGGGTTTATGTCTTTGGGTTTAGGGTTTTAGGTTTAGGGGTTGAGGGTTTCGGAATCACAGGTGTATGATGTTTTTGGCATGTATGTTTTGCGGGTTTACTGCGGTCCCAAGAATTGCAATGCGAGTGATGTGCAGTTACGATTGGTAGGTTTGATCTCTAAGTTTTTGTATACCTCTCCGGCGAAGCACCATCTGCCCTAAACCCTCAACCCTAAAACCTGGACGCAAAGGGTGCAAGCATTCCGTGAGCTACCTGCTCACCAGAGTTTTGAGCGGAAGCAGAAACACTCAAGCTGGAAAGTTTACTATAGGCGCCTAAATAGTTACCAACATCATGTTGGGGGCTTCATATTTTGATTATAGTATAGTATACACCAAAGCCCTATTCTACTTATGAAGGCCCCTACATTAGATCCTGCAGCATAGCTAGGTTTCAGTTGCATGTTCGCCCAGCACAAAGTGGCATTCATAGGGGCTCCGCGCTGCTTCGGCAAAAAGGAACGCCGTGTGTTTCGAATATCCGAGCAGCCATATCTCTTTTCGAAGGTTTAGGGTTTACGGTTTATCTTTAAGGTTTGAGATCAAGGGATAAAGATTCCTTAGCAGCAAATCCCCAGCCTTTTTGGAGACCGTGTTGTTGCCCGCAAGAGTAGCGCACACCGCAATATCCCTGACGAGGATCGAGTTCCGGCGGTTTAGGTCTAGGGCTTTAGGGTTTGGGTGTCTAGTGTGTAGAAGGCTTTCCGTTGAGTCTCAGTATGTGGCGGCTGCATCGGCGTTGGAAATCGGGTTCCCTTCTCCGTCTTGGGCCCTGGACCACAAACAGGCCCTAAACCCTAAACCCTAAACCCTAAACCCTAAACCCTAAACCCTAAACCCTAAACCCTAAACCCTAAACCCAAAGCCCTTTGCCTTCAGGGACTCAGGCTTGCGCCGTAATACATAGGGTCTGAACAGTTACCTATACCATTTGGGGGTTCCTTCTTACAGTTATAGTGTAATATGAGTTGGGTACTGCCCCCACTCAGTAACAGTTGGATAATATTTATATTATGGATATACTAGGCCCTTAATAGTAGCCCTATTATAGACTGTTACTGTATGGGGGCAGTACCCAAAATATGAGTAATATGCCCCAAAACCCTATTCTAATCATTAAGGCCCCTACATTAGACTTCCGGGATCTTTGTTTTCCGTAGACGTAGAGGGTGTTGTGAAGCGAAGGATTTAGGATTTCTGGGTTTCCCGTGCCGGGCACCCAGGACCATTCTATGAGGGTTTGGGGTTTAGGGTTTAGGGTCTGTGAACCCGAGCTGTGGCCCCAGTAGGCCCCTAAACCCTAAACCCTAAACCCCCTGAACCGTGAAAGCCACGAAACTGAAGCTGGACCCTCTTCCGAGCCTCAGACCCTCCAAAAGCTACACTCTCAACCCCAAGCCCTACTACTCTCCAAACTCCTCAGCCCTCGAAATCCTCAACTCGAAATCCCGAAAATCTAAAGCCCCGAAACCCCGAAACCCTAAACCCTAAACTCCTGAACCCCTAAACCCTAAACCCCTAAACCCTAAACCCCGAAACCCTTGAACCC